CTTCCTGCCCTGTGTTTTAATTACTGTTTATGCAGTTTTAATATGGATTTTAGTTTTGGTTTTAATTGTTGTAACTGTATGTTTTCTGATGTTTTAACTGTGAGCTGTCTTGGTGTCCCTCAAGAGGGGGGCCTGCACACATCCTCTCTCCCACTCACTCACTTTGCTTGTTGCAGATTTCCACTGCCAGAACAGCCTGACTCAAACCATCCTTGTTAGACCGCATGTCCCGAAGGACAGCTGTATTCAGCTCCCGCTGGAAATCAGACAAGTGCACCTCCTGGAAACCTGGGAGAAAAATTGAACAATCAGTGGGAGTCATGATGATGGCTGGGACATCCCCACTACTGTGTTGCCAACTCACCAGTCGGGGCAGGCACATAGAAGTAAGGGGCAAAGCCATGGATGTGGCAGCAGACACTACTGCCGGTCATGGTGACACCAAACATCCGCAGCACTGGAACTGGACCCTGGGTGGATCCTGGGAAGCCAGGCATGTGAGAACCTGTCTCAGGAAGAAAGCAAGACTGTATCAGTCGTTGAACATCTGTCATCCTTGCAAAAACTGCTATCAGCATCATTTAATATCCGCATTATCATAACCATAAATAACCAAAAATATCTATTGTGTATGCAACCTATTTGTTAGTGGATGGGTAGGAGTGGAAACATGAGTCAAGGGGAGGGCCAGTTCTCTCCCAGCCCATCCTAAATTGGTTTTTAATTCTTAGCAGATGTGACTCATTTTATTCTACAGCTATGAGGGCTGAAAACTCCCTCCCCTACCCCAATGAAAGCACACTTTCTTTAAGGTTCTGTACAGGTATTTCCAAAGATACCTTCCTGTGCATTTTCTACGACATCATCTTACGACTCAGCAATTAGAGAACCAGTATTACAGTTTCTCTGGGGAATTCCAGAGCTTGTTCCCTATGGACACTGTAGGGCTATTGTAGCTCCCAAAAGCCCCTGCACTAGAATAGCTTCAGACTTCCCCTCCAAGTAGCAGAGAGGTATTGTTTGACCAGGGGGAGGGAATGATCTAGTTCCCCAAACTTTTCACGGAAGGAAGGAGGGAGCCAGGGCTTCTTGGGACCCAGTTCACCACCACCCCCACACCACCTACAAGGCCTTCTCACCAGCACCTCAACCTTCTGAAAGACTCACCCACATAATAATCCAGGTCCACTTGCTGGAAACACAAAGCGTCCTCCTTCGGGTTTATTTTGGGAAGCGGTGGCCTCTGCCACTTGGGATTCCGCACCGATGAGATGAGATTATCTTTGGAGAAATCCAGGGCAAACACAAGCATTAACCTTCACCCTGCCTAACTCAGATTTTTATTCTCCTAAATCATTCAGTCTGTTGATTGGAAAGTGCCCCCCACCATATACGCACACAAGACCCAACTATACTTTGCCGGTACAGACTGAAAAGCACTTTCTTCTGTGGGCTTACCGCTTTGTTAGGCCATTCCCGAACCCTCTCCTTTTTGACACCTATCAGTCTCACCTAGAGGAATGTCATCAGGTGCCTCCTGCGCTTCCTTTGCCTCCAGAGCCATCTCAGCCTCCACCTCATCTAGAAAAGCCAGCTCCTCTTCAAACTGTGAGGGGCCATCCTCTTCCCAGTCTCCTCCACGAGGCCTCTTCCGCTGTGACAGAGAGGGCTCGCCCACGCCAGGGCCCCCGAGGGAGGCCTTCCGCTTGTTTTCCATCTTGGTAGTCCTGGGAAAGTAAAGGATGCCATCAAGGACCAACAGGCATCAGTGGCCAGCCACCACCCTCACCCAAACCAAACTTCTCCTCAGCCTTTGGTAACATGGCCAGTGCACACCACACTCAGGGAAGAATATGCCAATCCCAATTTTAAAAATCCAAATAAAGTGAAACAGCATTTTGTGCCCCTACTGGCTCCTTGTTCACTCTCTGCACCCTTGTTCCCCAATGAGGTACCAACTGCCACCTTCCCCGGGCACAATGCCAATCAGAAACTAAACATTTTGTAAGAGGTGCAGACAGAAGGCCTTCATACATTCGCACAGTGAGAACAGGTAAACTAAAGGGCCAGTGATGGCACTTAGTACTAAACTAGATACTTTACAGGGAGCCAGTGAATAATTTTTGGATTTAAAAAAATTCTGAATAGTCTTATCCGAGGCTGTAAGAGCCTGTTTAACGCTTTCCCTTCCTGGCA